AAAAAATTAGGAAATAGAACAATGGCCAATATGGTAGAAACTTCTTTTGATTTTGGAACTGAAGAGAAGCTTGATGGCAAACTGATAAGAAAGTGGATTTGGCTAATATGGTGCAACAAGAAGTTTTGAAGCTAATGAAAGGGAAGATGACTATGGAAGGCAGCCATGTCAATTTTGCCAACCTGGACAACTATGCAGGTAATTCCTTCAATACTAAATGTACTTTAAGTTTTGCATTGAGTACTATTGACTTATTGAAGCCTGATACTTGGATAATTGACACATGGGCTTCAAACCACATGTGTGGAAATAAATCCCTTTTTGATAAGCCTAGACCCACTAAACATCCATTACCTGTTTGCTTACCAGATGGATCTATTAAATTTGTTCATAGCATTGGAAATATTCATTTGTCAACTGATATTTGTTTGAAAGATGCCTTGCACATTCCTAGTTTTAAATTCAACCTCTTATCAGTAAATAAACTTGCTAAGTTTGCCCAAATAAAATTCACATTCTTACCAAGCCATTGTCTGCTGCAAGACCTGCAGACTGAAAGGATTCTGGCAGTAGGAAAACTACTAGGAAGCTTATACATTTTAGACAACTCTTGTCTTACGAAATTCAGATGTAATAAAGAGCCAAACAGTGACATGTTGTTTTTGAATTTCAATGATACTTTATTACCTTGTAATGCTGTTGTTTCTAGCAAGAAAATATGACTACTTCAAAAATTTCTCTTTGGCACGGCCATTTGGGACATGCTTCAATGAATGTTTTAAAGCATATTGATTTTCTTAAATGCTTGAATTTACAAAATGAGGTTGGGTGTGAAATTTGTCACTTGTCTAAGCAACAAAGGCTACATTTTCCAACCAACAACATCACTACCCAGCAATCCTTTGAATTAATCCATTTGGATACTTGGGGGCCATATAAATAACCTTCAATTACTAGAGCCACATATGTTTTAACAATTGTGGATGACCATTCCAGAGCAACTTGGACCTTTCTGATGTCACACAGAACCCAAATACTTGCCATTTTCACTCAGTTTTTCAACATGGTAAAGGCCCAATTTGATAAAACTATCAAAACCATAAGGTCTGACAATGGAACAGAGTTTACAAACCATGACTTCCAATCTTTTCTTTCTAGCAAAGGGGTGTTACATAAAAAATCATGCCCTTATACACCTCAACAGAATGGAATTGTTGAAAGGAAACACAAGCATCTCTTGTAAGTGGCAAGAGCTCTTATGTTTCAATCTAGCTTGCCTAAAAAATTCTGGGGACATTCCATCCTTATGGCTACTCATATTATAAACAGACTACCCTTCATTGTTAGCCTGGAAATCTCCATTTGAAATCCTATTTCATAAACCACCAGATTATACCAATTTAAGATGCTTTGGTTGCTTATGCTATGTAACAAATACATTACCTCATAAAAACAAATTTGATCATAGAGCATTTAAGTGTATATTCATTGGGTATAGTCCTGGCCAAAAGGCTTATAAAGCCTATGATTTGGAAAATCATAAAGTTTATGTGTCAAGAGACATAAAATTTTATGAGCAAATTTTTCCTTTCAAAACCAATTTAGTTTCTGTTGACAAAAATCCATCAATTGTTTTACCACTACCCTCTCCAGATAATATTTCAGATCTTTTACCAACCTCTACATTAGATGTATCATCACCTATACTAACGGCAGATGAGCCCAATGAAACACCTGATATTTTGAATTCACCAACCTCTGAACCAGGAACAGAAACCATTGGTGCACCTTATGATTTACTTCCTAAAATTACAAAACCAGAAACTATAGTCCTCGTTAATACAGACAACCTACCCCCTATCAGACATAGTACTAGAATTAAAAAGAAACCAGCATGACTTACAGACTATGTTACTAATTTGGCTTGCAGCAATGTTAGAACTACTGATAGAATCCTCAATCAGTCACAGGTTCATGCATCAACACCTCACACACTTCCAACATATTCATTTATTCAATCACCTTCACTTTCTGCATCATATTTTTCCTTTTTAGCTAATGTGTCAAATATTCAAGAACTAGCTTCTTATAATCAAACCAGTACTAATGTTGAATGGATTAAAGCAATGAATAAGGAATTAGAAGCTTTAGAGAAAAATGAAACTTGGGAACTCACTGATTTACCAGAAGGAAAAAGGGCTATTGGTTCTAAGTGGGTGTATAAAGTGAAGTTGAATCCAGATGGTAGTGTGGAAAGATACAAAGCCAGGCTTGTAGCCAAAGGCTTTCACCAGGTGGAAGGGATTGACTATTTTGATAGTTTCTCTCCTGTGGCCAAAATAGTAACTATAAGAATTTTTTTTGCAATTGCAACATCTAAATCATGGCTATCCATCAATTGGATATCAATAATGCATTCTTGCATGGGTATTTGGATGAGGATGTTTACATGCAACCTCTAGAAGGGTATTTTAAGGCTGCTAAGGGTCAGGTCTACAAACTGAAGAGATCACTCTATGGGCTTAAATAAGCCTCAAGACAATGGAATGCTAAATTTAGTGACAAAATTAAAGCTTTTGGTTTCCATCAATCAGCTCATGATCATTGTTTATTTGTTAGGCACACATCTAACTCCTTCTTTGCACTGTTAGTGTATGTAGATGATGTGCTTCTAACAGGTACTTCAGAAGCAAATATCATTTCAGTCAAACAGTACTTGGATAAGCTATTCACTATCAATGATCTTGGCTATGCTTAGTATTTTCTAGGTTTGGAGATTGCTAGGAGTTCTTCAGGTACTGTTCTTAACCAAAGGAAATACATTCTTGACATTCTAACAGATACTGAACTCCTAGGTGCTAAACCAGCTAAAACACCTTTCCCTAAGGGTCAAAAACTTTGTACAAATAAAGGACCTCCACTAGCTGAACCAGAGAGATATAGAAGGCTTGTTGGGCGTTTGTTGTATTTAAATATTAGCAGGCCAGACATTAGCTACTCTGTACAGCAGCTAAGTCAGTTCGTGAACTCTCCATGTCAGTCACACTGGGAAGCTGCAATGCACTTGCTTAGATATCTAAATGGTTGTCCTTCTAAAGGTCTTTTTTTATCCAGCTGACAATTCTCTTCAATTGGAAGCTTTCAGTGATGCAGACTGGGCCTCCTGTTCTGAAACCAGAAAATCCTTAACAGGTTTTTGCATTTCTTTGGGGTCAGCTCTCATTTCTTGGAAAACAAAGAAACAAACAACAGTCTCAAGATCATCAGCAGAAGCAGAATATAGGTGTTTAGCAGCAACGGTTTATGAACTTCAATGGATCTCCTATGTTCTCAAGAATTTTGGCATTCAATTAAAACTTCCAAGTCCTCTTTGGTGTGACAATCAAGTTGTTCTACACATCACTGCCATTCCAGTGTTTCATGAAAGAACAAAACACCTGGACATCGATTGCCATTTAGTTAAAGAGCAGTTCAAGCAAGGCTTCATCAATCCTCAGCATATTTCTACTCATCACCAAGTAGTTGATGTTTTTACAAAGCCACTTTCTGGTCCTCAATTCAGCAACTTCATGTCCAAGTTGGGTTTGCTTGATATCCACCAAACTCCAACTTGAGGGGGGGGGGGGATGTAGAGTTATTATCTTTATTCATTCTTTTATTCATTATTTTCCTTTATTCTCTTTTATCCTTTACTAGCTGAGCTGGCATTTTGTTATTGAGCTGGCAATATTCCTTTAGTTTTCTTTTCTGTCAAGTTTGTTAGTTAGTTAGGGATTGTTCTTGTATATAAACACTGCTTTTGTAACCTTTTCGGGTGTAGAGAATATACTGGAATTCTCTCCATTTTCTTCTTGCTTTTACTTTTGTTCATTTTTCATGCCAAAGATTAGCTCCTTTGTTGGAATTCGAATGATTTGAGAAGATAAGGACCTATAATTTTCATTCCGTAATTTCATCAAGATATTTTGATGGAACGACGAAAGAATTCAGGACCCTCCGAGGTGGAAGCAAACTTTGGACCCTCCAAGGTGGAAGCAAACTTATAAGAGGTTTTTATCAGCGGTGTTGCTTGAAGCCGAGAACATACATGGCTTGCTCTATTATTCATCTTTCCCGTATCGTCGGCAAAGAGGGCTCTGCATCACAGTTTTCGACTTAGATTTTTGGGTAATACAAGGAGAGGTTGGATGTGGAAGGGAAGGAGAACGAACGAAGGGAATAGAGAGAGAGAGAGAGAGAGAGAGAGAGAGAGAGAGAGAGGAAGGGGATGTGGAGCGGTTCGGTGCTAAGGCCGAATGTGTCGTTGCTGCACCTCCCATTATCTCTCTCTTCCTCTCCCCCTCCCCCCGTTCCTTCGTACCTGTTCCAAAGCTTTCAATATCTGAAAATTGCAGAGCATAGTTGCAGACAACTACTAAATCCTTTACCTCCTCTGGAAAGGACTTGGTGTTAGAAAAACCTGGCAATGTCGGCGAAAGTGGTTGGATACAGACGACGACAATGGTGGAAATGGCAGTGGAGAGACAGGGAGTGGAATGGTTCGCTATAGTTACCGCCGGAGAGAGGGATGGTGAAGAAGAAGGGAGAGGGATGAAGGGCAAAATTGGATTTTAAAGAAAATTTATATATCATGTGGTTTCAAGTGTGTATGAATTTCGACGGAACATTAACGGATATTAACAATAGGGGTAGAGTTAGTCAATTGTCAAAAAACTTAAAGACATCGCAAGACAATAGCTAAACAGTAAAGGTACCGCATGTCAATTTGTGAACAATAGGGTAGTTTAAATGATTTACCCTAATAATAATAATAATAATAATAATAATAATAATAATAATAATAATAATAATAATAATAATAGGGCTAGTTACTTTAAACTACTCCAAAATTTTGAAAAATTTACTTTCCGTTATATATTGCCATTAAATAGACCAAAAAACTTTTTCACCCATAATTATTCTTCAAAGTTTTCAAAATATATCAAATTATAACCCAGATT